TTTTCTTACTAACTTCCCCTACACTAACTTTCACTCTACTCTGATCGCAGATCTAGATTCGCCTTCCATCAAAACCCCAGATTAGGATCTTAGATTGTCAAAAATGGTCGAGAATCTACCGATTTAACTGGTCTTCACCCTCGCCCATCTTCCTTCCTGCCATATCCCGGCGCTGCAACTTTCTCCTCCACCTCCTAGTCTAATCAACTAACACTAAAGCTGAGCTGTTCATATGGTTCGCCCGGGGCCAAAACCCCGGGATTGCATCTTCCCCTACCCAAAATGGTGCTCAAACGAACACCCCCCCGCTTTTCTACTGCGCCCGACTCCCTCCTTCGCCATTCTCACTGTCGAATGTACCCGCCCCAAATTCTCGCTCGGGTTCATTCATCTTTTCCCCCCTTCTTCCCGACCACTCCGCGCACCGTTTTTCTCACTAACCTCTCTTTCTTCTACCTTATCACTAAAACTAAGCTCAGACTCGGATTCACATGGTCAATAAACCACAATTTTAGTTCGTTCCTCGCTCGATTCCGTAGAGAATTGAGCGTGTTCCACTTTTCGGACTGCGCCCAAGTCCATAACCCACCATCTCCACTATCTCCTTCCTTTCTACCTCCCGATCCACTAACCCACTGGCCAAGCTAACCTCTCCGCTGTGTTCGCCCTGGCCCAAAATATCGGGATTGACCCTTCGTCCACTTGTTTCCATCAGGAAACGAGCGAGGTAGCTATCTCGTCGCCCTCTACGCTCACGTCCACCATCTCCTGCGCGCCCGTCATCTTCTTCAACTTTTAAACGCACCCGGCGCGAATCCGCGCCGGGTTCATTTCATCCATCTTATCACTTGCCAGCCTCATCCTCCCTACTTCATTCCTTCTCCGCTTTTACCTCCTCTAATCCCTCTCCTTCACTTTTGCCTCCGCCGCCTTCAAGCCCCGTCTCCTTCTGCTACTAACGCAGTGTCCAGCAGATAGCGGCCCGACAGCGCCAAGGGCAGTCCAATGTGCCCTGCCCCTCTGGCAATCACTACTAGTCGGTTCGATACGGGACCTCGTCCTTTCACCAAAATGCCCCCGCCCAATGCCCTGCTGCGCGCTAGCCCAGATACCTCAGCGAAAGCTGGCCGATTCAGACAGCAGGGCCGGTGGTTCTGGGATTCAAATTCGCTGAGGAATGTATAACAACTCACCTGCTGAATCCACCGGCCCGACAGATAGCGCTCGGACGCCGCTGCAGTTGGGAGGACACGGCCCCGCTACAAAGCCCGTAATGCGGGTAGAAGGTGGTGCGTGGTGCGGGTCCTCGAGCGGATCTTGGTGATAGTAGCAAATATTCAAATGAGAACCTCGAAGGCCGTAGCGGAGAAGGGTCCCATGGGAACAGCCGCGGGACAGCTCCGCCCAGCCAGCGCTGTAGCCGCCTCCCACTAGCGTCCCCTGTCCATTGTCTCAAGGCACAGTTCACCATCCTCCGGGTCCCAACGAGCGTGCTCACACTCAAACCTCTTCGCAGAGGGCGGCGGGTGGGCGGACGGTGCACGTGCAGCAGGTTCCCGTCATCTGGGTTCGAACACGGCCCTGTATCTCAACAGTTCATGGGCGTACCCACTGAGCTTGGCCCTTAGGCCCCGGGTGTAACCACGGCCCCGCGGCCCAAGGCAAAACGGGGCGCGGCCCCGACACAGCCACAAAAACAGTTTGTAATTGCACTTCGGGCACCCCTGCGGATACAACACACCCCCACGCGCAGCTACCGCAGTCTCGCCTCCTCAGGATACGACAAACAAAATAGATAAGGAAAATAGGATAAAATAGCAGCAGGGTCGGGGAACAGCGGGGCTGCTAGCGCCTCGCTAGCCCCCGCGGACTGGGCCTGCCGCCGCGCTCGTAAACAAAACCGAGGGGGATAGCCCCGCAGGGCCCTCAACCCCTCAGGTTTCGCTCCACGCTGCTCCGCTGCTGCTGCGCCGACGCCCTGCTGGCCTCGATCCCCGGACCCCCGCATCGTCAGCCCAATGCCGTAACCTATAGGGCTAAGCCCAAGCCTGAGACCAGCGCCCACAGAGTTCCATACAAGGCAGTGTGGCGCGGCGCTTTGGGCCGACAATACCAGCTGCGCGGCTCCCAGTGCCTGCGCCGGCTTGCTTATACCGTGTCGTAACTGCCCCGCGCGCCATCCTACGACACCCCGCTCACCGCACGAAATCGCGCCGTCGGTGCCGATGCCGTCGTCGGGGTCGTTTCTCCGCACGCGCGCTCGACTCGGTCAAACGTAGCCATCGAAAGAAAATATCCCCTAGATCCTAGTTTACTCAGGAGTAACCAAAAATAAAACTTAAAGATAAAAATAAAATTAAGCAGACCGGCGCCCACGCCGGTTTCGTAGTCAACATCAGGGGGTGGATCACGCGCGCCCACGCACTCTTTACTCTAGTCAATCATCCAGTCAACGTAATCACAGACGCAGCGGCGCCTAGCGCGGTATACGTAAACTCTAAACCAACTATCTCCTGCCACTTGCAAAAACCAGGGCGGATACCCTTGTAAGGGTATTCGCGCCGACAGCGCGCCAGTGGGACATGGACAGTGAGGGGCGGGGAAATTGCGGCGCTGCGTGTGGTCAGCAGCGAAAGCGAAAATTGATGTGCCGCGCAGCAGCGGGATGTGGGCAGTGCATTGTTTCAGGAGGCGAGCCCAGTGGTTCAGTATCCACGCGGTGTCGGGAGACAAGCTCAGTGGTCCAGGAGGGCGGTTCGGTATCGTCCTCGCAGGGTGACGTCGCAAGGGGCCATGCGCAGTAGATTCGTTCGATTTTGATCATCCTATCGATGGAAGTACACAC